ACCTATACTAACATATGTGGCAACGGTATGGGGGTCATTAACAAGCACTACAATCTAGACAAAAATAGAAGCTGTTCAAAACATTGCACTAAGAACAATCACCGGTGCACATTATCTTATGCGGAACTCGGCTCTTTTCAACTCCACGAACATGGTGGGTATCCAAGAGACAACCAAACATGCAGCCAAGGCACTTCTTTATCGAGCCAATAATTCAAAATTCCCACACCTTCAAAACTTAAAATTGCTTTCAAGATAACTGTTGGAACTGAATCAATACAATAAATAGCGAAACCAAACAACCAGACTAAACACAGATAGAGGTATAGATGACTAGTCTGAACCTCTAAATAAGCTCCTGACCACCCACCCAACGGCAAGTCCAAGTCGCATATCAATCGCTTCGTGTGCAGAGGGTCTAAATAGTTTGAACGTAATATATTCTAATTCCTACAAACATTTCAAACGGATTTACTAACTAAAACTCACATTTGTTGTTATTTATTTAATTTATTTGGTAAGAAAATAATAGTCATAAATATTTCTAATTTTTCAGTTATAGTCATTGGGTATCAATAATAGAATGATGAGTAATTACTATTATTTGTATTATGATCTCTCTATTGTATATTTAATTTGCACCTACCAAAATACAAAAATCTCTCACTTATAGTATTTTTTTTTTTAAATTATTTCTATGGTAAATTAATATGTTCCCTATATTTTAGAAATATGATAAGTTGTCAATATTTAGAAATATTTTCAATTATTTTTTTTTTGTACAATTATATTCTGATATCAATACACCAATCTTTAGAATATAATATTAACTATAGGTACCTATGATATGAATAATTCGATAAAAAAGTTGTTTTGATCTATAGAACAAATTTTCCCAGGACAAATATTGCCTAACATCCAAGCCGTTCTCTACCCAAAAAAACCGAGAAAAAAGTTTAACCACCCATCTCTCTCAAACCATATAAAATGGCCCTTTTCAGAGCCATCAAATTAATAATAAATTAATACCTTTAGAGAGGTTATTATATCGAAAAAAGCATTGATACTTTCTTTCTTTACTTGGTACGAGATCAAAAGCACAAATGCTAACTAAAGTATCGAAGTATAATTAATTACCGGTATCAGTATATATGAATACGTAAATTCTACACACATATCTTTTTAGGTGAAATAATTATATTTAAATATCATTTAAATATTCTTTATTTAATAAATAAATTATACTTAGTAAATATTTATATTTTTAAGACATATGTTACAATTTGTACATTTTCGTATATTAACTCGTATAGAATGTATATAATTATTATATTTTTTATATAATAATGTGTAATGTTTATTTAATAAAGAAGTACCAGTTAAAATGTCTTCTTTTTTTTATATTTACTTTAATTATAACCCGCTCAAATAGTTCTTTGAACATTGAAAAAAATATTTGATACCGTTTGATACGAAGACTCGTATCTTCGCAAGAGTGATTTTGAACTGATATCAATTGGCGATATTGTGCTAAATTTTTGATTCAATGCCAATATTTTTTCTATCGGTATGAGTAAAATACCGAAACAATGGTATTGATGTTAAAAGTACTTGTATCTATATTTGATTGGTATCGATTATATTGTAACGTCCCTAAATATTCCTCCTATAGCCATACTACTACATCACTAATTTATCTAAAATTTTTTTAAAACATTTGATTTAGCTAATCGTTATTAGACACCATTATAGTGCCTTTCATTAATAAATATTTACTTGTTGCGTAAGATTTTTATAACTAATGTTATCTGTACAATATTTTATCAATCACTACTTTTCTACTTATATATATACCTGTATAATTCAGGTATTTTAAAAAATGCCTAGGCATTATGCAAATTGCCGACACATTTTAAGCAATGTAAATAAAACATATGATTTTCATTATTTTACATATAAACTAGGTAGATATTTTATAAAATACCTAGGCATTATGCAAAATGCCAATTTTTTTTTAGGCTAAGTACAAACCATTTTATTATATGTTATATTATATTAAGATTCTTATAATTATTAAACATTATTACTCATATTACAGACAAAATTTAATTTTTATCTTTTATTATATTATGACTATTATATAAATAATTTACTAAAACTTCTATTTACTTATTATAACATGTTGTAGAAAAGTGACATTTTGAAGTGCACAAAATTATTAAATTAATTGTTATTTTTAAGACAAATACACTTTTTATTTTGACACTTGGACTTACAAACACATTTTAAAAATCCTTGGCCAATTATTGTGGATTGAATTTTTATCAACTCATCATACTGTTTATTAGATAAAAAACTAGTATTATTGGCTAAATTTTTAAAAAAAATGTTGTAATTTGTTGTAAACATTTGACTTCATATAAATCGTATGCATAGTTGCAACACCATAACGAGACACGAAAATGACGAGAAAAATGACGACATTGTAATAAAATTATTAGTACTTTCAATATGGTACTTCAGAATTGTTATTATAGTAGTAAAAGGATATTAATCTTTATTGCGTTAAATCGTGCACGCACATTTATGATAAACGATAAGTTAAGTCGTTGGTGATAGGCAATGCCCAATTTTGTTTGTTTTCATCATATTGCCTACTCTACGTTTGTCATTATATATAATACCTAGGCAAAGCTCGTATTATGTATATTACCAAGTGATTTTCGGTATTTTATATAATGCCTAGACATTTTGCAAAATACCGGATTATCCTTATTGCCAGTAACATATATATATATATATAAAAGAACTAAGATTGATTAAGCTTTTAATGTTCAAACTTTCATGTCTCTGCACAGTGGCATGCCCAGAGAGTAGTATGTAATATTTTTTCCATAATCATTATTTACTTTTCAATATTTTTAAATTTTGTTAACATGTAATACCGAAGGGAATTTTCTTATATTATATAATTATTTATTCTAATTAAATTTAAAAATGTTATAAAAAGCTTACGAAAAAAAAATGTGTATCTATATAAATTAAAATAATTATAACTAAGCCTTTCCTTAATTTTGATCATACATTTTTGCCGTATTTTTAGAGCTTTTCATCAATATTTTTCAATAATTAAGAAAACTGTTTGGAATTAATAAAATAAATTATTATTTAATTTATAAAATACCTGCTGGATGGAATATTCTATCAAAGATCTTATAGTTGTGATAATTGGAGCAGTCTTTTTGGTCGATATCATGTTCACATACTCGAAAAAATTAAATAAAAATACACGTCACGGTAAACCAAGATAAGTATATACCAGTGGTATAGCCAAAAAAATTGTTGGGAGGTTTCAAATTTTTCTATTATCCCTCCTAATTAAGTGGCAACTTTTTAATTTTAATAAGTTCATTAAGCATAAGTTAAAATATAACATTTGTTATTATTTAGGTAGTTTGTTGAAACTGAGAAAATTGCCATTGACATATGATATAACATTATATCTATGTTTTAAAATTATTGTAAATCTTAAACAATTAGAGAAAGATTTTGGGAGAGGGGTTATTAAATGTAACTCTCTCCCCCTCAAAGCTACGCCACTGTTGTATACAATATATAAATAGCAATTGGAAATAATATGACCATAACTATAAATTATAACGAATATTAATATTGTAAGATTAAAAATTTGATAATTTAATATTTTAGTCTTTTTAGACTTGGTGTATAATGATTGCCTATTGTACAATATTTGCTGACTAAAATCTTTCTGTCCCATATTATATTACCTCTATCTAGGTTTATGATGTTATGTTATCATATTCTTCATAAAATATAAATGTAAGCTTAAATAACTATTCAATTATTAAATACTTTATAATTAAATTCTTAGAATAATTATTATTAAATGTTAACATTTGATATTTTCGAGTACTCCGTAAAACAATCAAGTATCATAATTTATTATTATTTAATATGCTTTTACATCACATTTAGTATTAATATTTTATAACCATTACATTATTAAGTAGGTACAATAGAATATGTCTTATAGTGCCTACGTGTTCGAATAATATATATATATATATTGCCAACGAATATTACTTGTACGTAAAGGTACAATGATTTACAGCAGAAATATAGGAATTTTACTCTGAAGAATAACTTTAATAAAATTATGCATGTATTTATCTACTACAAATTAATTTCGATTAATATTTAATTATAATTATTATAAATGTAAAAATTAAGTGTAAAATTTTAAAGTTTCAGTCGCTGTACCTACGTATACTACTTATAGTTCTCTCCAGTTAAAATAAGAAAAAAAATACTGTAATACCACTAATAACCGACTTGTTAATAATAATTATTTATGTATTTCTTATTGTATTGAGTGAGGATGAAAAATACTCAATAGGACCAAAGAAAGTAGTAGAAATTAATTATGTTGAAATAAAAAATTCTTGAAAATTCTGAATTTGTCAAATGTATGATGGAGTTCAATTCATTTTTTTTTTTTTTTATGGAATAACATGTTGCAAAATATATTCAACTATTGTAAAACAATTTTTAATTTAAATAAAATAATAATAATTTATTAAGTTCAATTACAAAAAATCATAACGTTGTAACATTGAAGACTACCAAATGCGACAAATATTGAAACGACATTTTGAGCCGGGCAAAAATATTTTCTTTTCATTAAAAAAGCTGTTCGTACAAATCCATTTGGCTTAAATGATAGCTACCTACACATCATAAACTACGTACGATCAGGAGAGGATGGACGATCCACGTTGTCCCTTCCTCTACATGACGTCCTCGGAACTAACGCGGTAACGTGGGTAGCGCACTAATGATAATAACAATTAGCTCACGCGCTTTCGCGAACGTAAACATGCCGCATATATTAGATAATACCGCACTAGTGGCAGCACTGCACACCCGATCCTCGAAATGTTCATCGCCACCGCACCCGTTGCGGCGATGCTTCTCCGGTGTTGCCGGTAGTCCGTGCTGTGGTACTCGCGGGGTTTCACGTCCTTAGCGTACTGTGCGTTCTCTGTGTTAAGTGTGTGTGTGTTTGTTATAGAGTGTTTTATTGTGCTTTATCCTGTAAGGTTTTCGAGATCTGTGACCGAAGGTTTGACAAAACTAAAGTGCGCGTTCGTGCTCAGTTTGCCGTGTCCAGTGGCTCGCAGAGACCTTATAATGGGGTCCTGCGGAAGACTTCTGCTGGCCCTTATCTTCACGTTCGCCACCAAGGGTAAGTTTCTAATTTAATGTCTACATACACCGGTAAGGGATTCAACACGAATTCAGTGTCGAAAATCGTTCTTGGTGTAGTATCTTTGTAGGTAAGAATTAATATTTGGTAAAAAAAAAATAAAATAAAACCACACAACAAAAACTTGGTTATCAAAGGGTTGGGTAAACTTTCAAAAGTTGTAAATATTCATGACGTTTCCTTCGATGTTTGGTGGGAATGCGGGGAACTCTTAATACAAATAAAGACCTCCGCTGTTGGTAAAGGAATAAAAAATAAAACTGTTGGATTTAATAGTTGTACATTCGTACCGGCAGGAAGTCCCTTTTGTGTGCGTGATGAACGGGGGTGAGTGAATGAGTCATGAACGTCGTCGACGAAATGGGGGCGTTCTGTTCTGATGCACATCAAAACCGTATACGTCCGTAAATTCCTATACTCCCTTCATTAGAATCTCGAAATAGACAACCAGAGATTTTTTACCGAACGATTCTATCAGACAGTAGTTCGTTCTATATGTTCGTATTGCTATATAATTTAATTGCAAGGTAAATTTCGGTGATATAGTCAATTGAATTATTCAATGTAATATATTAATTAAAATTGTGTATAACTTAAGTTTTTTTTAATCTATTTTAAATTGTTTTATATGATTTTTTTTTTTTAGAAGTCAAATTGGTAATGATATTAAAACACATCATGATTAGATTATTCCAAAATTTCTATTTGTATAATATACTTAAGCATCGGGTTGAATCAAAAATATATTAAAATAAAAAAGTTGATGTATAAAAAAAATAATAATATAACCAGCACCTTTGGGTATTTTTGATATTTTTACGAATTTTAATGAAAATTATCTGTGTAATACATTAGTTTTCAATGTAGATATATATTTATGAGCTTATAAAATATATTATAAACTTGATTTCTAAAATTCAAATTTCGTAAATTTTAGACTAAAATATTTATGTTTACTTATTACACAATATTAAAAGTTTGATTACAATTCTTAATAGATAATTAGTATAAGCACTATGTATTATAATATTGTCTTTACTCTGAACTATATTAGTAGGTATTATAAACAAATGATACATAGTAATCAATATCATTTTCTATAAGTATATAATATAAAAATGCATAGTTTCATGAAACATTTATAATAGTGTTGTTACATCCTGCGTATTTATTTTTGTTTTTATTCTAAATTATATGAGCTGATAAAAATCTTAATTTTTATAAACACAAAACTAATTATAACTTTATTATTTACGTTTCATAAAATAATTGTTGTCAATTGTAATCCTTCTGTATTATTATCAGTCTTGAGTTTTAAATGTGGTACTCTATGAATTATTTAGGATGTATCAGGGTAATAATTGTTATTTATGTCCATCACATGGACACAACACGGTTATTATTATGTTTTTAGAAACTACACCAACTGATTAAATATTATACCATGGGGGATTTATACGGGTGTAAATATTATTCTCAATAATGTGAATATTACGTATTTACCTTGTTTATCAAAAATGTAGTTTGAACTTAAAGCAAAATAAAATTTTTTTTTAGTTCATGTGTACAAATATTAAAGTCTAAAAAAAAATTGTTAAAATAAAAATAAATAATAATTAGAAGTCGTTTCCTATTTTTTAATCCTTATTTGGTGATGAACGGAGTCTTACTTTTCGTCTAAATCGTCTAAATCGACAAAAAAAATGCATCCTGGTAAAACCAATACATTTCTCATTTTTCACTTAGAATCTAAAGAAAAATAGGGAATAAAAATTACATACATAATTTTTAAAACTTTTTATATTGTGTAGGCTCTGGAAAACTATTGTAGGTACCTCATATCTTATCAAATTTTAAATTCTCAACTTAATTATGTAAATTTGTTTTGTAACAATCATTATTTCTAATAGATTTTATTTATCAATTACCTAAGTAACTGATTAAAAATAGTAGATCAAAGCAAAAATATGTATTCATTTTTCTGATATTGTGAAAAATGAAAAAATTAATATTAAATTTAATTAACGATTTTAAATTACGAAATTATTTTTTCTTGGCTTAATTATAATCGAGTCATTATAAACATTTATGTTATTTCCTAAACATTAATTTTTCAATATTGATAACCTTTAATTATTGTATTTTATAGACGTTTTCGAGTACTGAAAAACATCTATAAATACGTTTTACTATGCTCTATCAAATAATTCGGAAATAAATATGATATATTTAAAGTCATTTTTTATATAATACGGTCATCTGTATTATTTTTGTATGGATATAAACAAAAATGGAAGTGCGTGTGTCGAAATGTAATACATATATATATTGTATCCCTCTCATCGATCTACGCTTTAACGTGACTGCTCCTTCCCGCTCAACCTACAACCCTGTCTGGCTAGCACACGCGGGTTCATTGGGCCTCCCGTGTTCCCATGGCGACCACTGAAATCCTGTTGCCGTCTAAACAATACTACGCACTCGGCAGCAGCGCCCATTGCACCAAGAAAATCACGTGCCCATACTTAAACAACATTTTTCAATAAACTAAAATATTAAAATAGAAAAAAATATATATAAAAATTAGACATTACCTATAATTATCTAATACATCCTGTAAAACCGTTTTTGTTTTCCTGTTTATCATGAGTTTATTATTTTCGAATAACAAACGAGACGTAGGTAGATATGTATTTCCCTTGCAAACGGATGTCGTTGCATATCCGGGAAATAATTTCCAATATGCATATCATTATAGTAATATTTATGTTAAATTTATTATTTAGCCATTTTAGTTATTTCATTATCTTAACACTCAAACTTTAACCTAATATGAAATCTAAACGACAATAAAATGTTATAGTGCTTATATTTTCACTATTAAACTACATATTAAATATTAATCAAACCATGCATGAGTAAAAGTAATCTCATATTTACTATTGATTATTATTCAATTGTTGTACGAGTATATTATACGTTATGTATTTGGTCTATACACAGAAGCCGACGCAGGGAGTGTTTTGGGGGTTCACCTCCCTGAAATGAAAAGATGATTAATTTCAAACTTGGTTATTGTACTTTATTAACCTTAAATAAAAATTAATTTTTCGGTAATTATTCTTATTTTTTCAAAACCCCCCAACATTTTTTCCTGCGTCTACCTCTAGCTACACGTATTATAAATATATTAATTATACTTATATAATTCATTATATATACTTTATTAAAATTATACTGTATTATATTGGATTTTATAATTTTTAATTCAAATTATTATTTTATGTAAGTACATGTTTATTTTAGGAAAAAAATATTTTTTTATACAGCATGAATAAATTGAAATTGTTTAACGACCCATTTTATAATAATATTGAAATATTTTCTCCTTAAATCATTCATTAGTATTTCATACACATTTATGAATCAGTTAGGAATGTTAAAACTGACGCATAACATATTCTGGTCACTATGTCTACATAGTATTGTTTTGTAAAGAATACTCTTATTTAGTTACCTAGTTTTTCAGAGTTTTTTACTCGTGGTTACTTATGAAACTATGAATAAATTACGGTGTGATTTGTGTATTTCAGATTTACCGTGTGTCTAGACACTTATGTATATATACACTGAATCTATAATACTACATAATTGTTATTTTCGTTCGATAGAAAATAAATTACTATTTTTTTACACTCATATACTAATGATTGCATTTACAAAGAAATGCATGTGAATAGAAAATCGGTAAATTAAAAAGGTAACAGCATTACGCATTTATGTTATGTAAAAAAGTTCAAAACTATACTTAATGATAAAGCGGATAAGTAAAACACTTCATATCTATATAGGTAGTACTTCGTGCCAGGTTAAGGGGGGGGGAGGGGGCAGATGCCCCGGACGGCAATTTTTTAATGGCGTAAATAAAAGTTTTGTAATTTTCTAATGTATATATAAGTTTTTAGGAAGAATTATTAATTTATTATTGAAAAATATTAATAACAATTTTATCAAATTATAATAGTAATATTATATTATATAAAATCGTTGAGTTATTTCATCAAATTTGTTAACCCGGCACTGGTAGTACTTTTATGTGAATATGTAAAATGCGTGCGAAGTCACTATACGAAAGCGCGTTTTGGAGGGAAAAACATTTTCCTTTAAAAGAACTTTGCCCGCGAAACAGCATCCACCCAAACAAATCGATTATGTTTAATATTATTTTGCGTGGCATTGTCTCAGTTATACCATTGTAGATTCCATTCAACGTTGATATGTATTATACTGACATAAATTAACGAATGATATTGATAATTTATTTTTACAATATTTAATGATACTTATATATATATTTTTTTAAGTTATTTTTTGTTTTAGAACAACGAGTATTTTATTTAAGAAATTATTTCGTTTCCTGACTTGCACTTACAATAAAAATGTTCACCTTTCTTGAGTGGTATTCGACGTTTAGATTGTAAAATTCGTTATGCTCGACCGCGTTTCGTGTAATCACTTGGTTTATTGTTCTTAGGGCAGCTTTACCAGTGAAAAATAGTCGTCTCCGTGTATTTAAATTATGATAATAATTACCTACAATATGTCCATGTAACAATTTGACTTTTAAATTTGATGGAACAATGGATATTTATTCTAGAGGAGGAGCATTAAGTCTATGAGTCAGTTGTTAGTAATTTCCTATGGCAAAATAATCATTATATTTGAATACGGATTGAGATGAAATATTTGGACCAAATGTTTATAATTTAAAAAAGTTGTACTAAGAAGAAGAAAAATATTAGTTAGATATTTTGAATTCCTTACATGTAAATTTAGCATTTAATGTTTTTTTAACATTGTTCTATTACTTGTTAGATATGTTTGCATTAATTATTATTACATTTACTCAGTATACACTGTTATTTTTATTTAGATTATAAAATAAATTCTATAAATAATTTCTTAATGCACATAGATTA